AAATTGTTTGTTATAGCTCATGAGTCACAAGGATTTTTAGAGAAAGAGAAAACAACGGGAACAATGGGAGCCCTGAGAATAGGTTTTGGTTGTACAAACTGTCTTGCTATCAGCTTGAGGTGGCACCTCTTTTGGTGCAGCCCTGGCTGCCCCACCCCACTCCCCTCTGGACCTCCAGTCCTACATCCCTGCTGTTCTATCCCATTTTTCCAACCCTTTCCAAAATGAGAAGAGGGCTGATACTCGGTAGCAAGGTTTTGAAATGTGGCAATGCCAGAAGTGTGTTTGCAAGGAGATATTATCTGCCTGTGGGGGAAGAAATCCTGAACTCCCATGTCCATTTGGGGAGCCAGCCTCCTATCTCTTCATCTTGTCTTGTTTCCTCTTGAAATGCTGGATGTTAAAGATTCAATGAACAACAGAACTCAAAATAGGAACAAGAAGCATTTTTGTCCAGCCCTTCTCAGCATTCAGAAGACAATGGTTTTAATCTGTTATCCCCATGCTGGCACGGGAAAACTGACAAAGCCAAACTGCAGTCAAACCTTTCAACAGAGAGGGATTTTCTCCCCATCCAGCCCCATAAAAGCATGTCCAGTCTTGCTTGGCCACATCCATGAAAGCTCTTCTCCAAGCAGAGCAGAGTACAGGAACTAAATTCACATTGCACTGGGTCATTATATACCTAATGCAGGAGGAAAAAAAAACATTATCCAATGCAGTAAGAATTACTTTTTAGAAGGGAAAAGAGTTAAATCCTTGTAAAGAGATATAAAAAGGCGCCTTTCAAAACACGGAAGTAATATCTAAACAAGGAAGGCAGAAAATAATGTAAATTGTATAAATTTGTGGTTTCTCCTTCATCCTGAGCCCTGCCTGCAGCTGCAGTCCCCTCTCCTTCCGAAGGTCTGGAGTGAGGGAGAAGGGCAGCGAGGATGTCCGGTGGGATGAGCAGCACCTGCTCAGCACAGCCCAGACTGCTCAGGGCTCTTCAGCTGAGAAAGGACGGCTGGAGGGCTGGCAGGCAGGTGTTCTGCACAAAAAAAGCAGGCTCTTTTCCCTTCAAAATATATTCCAGCAGTGCAGGTGAGCACTGTGGATCTCAAACAGCTCTGGAGGTAATGACTAACACAGCAGCTAAGGCAGTGACTCAGAGGCAGCATCCGAGGGAGTCCCTGGGCTGCTCATGGCTGGGAGCTGCCAGATAGAACCAGAGACTATCACTACACACTTGCCTTGTTCTTAGAGTCTCTCCTTAGACACTGACAACTGTTCCCTGTCAGGAACAGGAGAGAGGCTTGAAGACTGCAGTCAAACCAGCGAGGCTCGTGCTCACATCCCCAGCAGCTCTACAGCCGGGGGCAGGATTGCACTGATGTGCCACTAACAGAAGCAGAAATCCGTGCTTCAGGCATGTGTTACTCCCTGCTGCAGATTCAGATCCACGGCAGGGATAACCTGAGCAAGCATCCCCTCCTTCCAGCTCCCAGGGTGGGGAGCATCACCAGCAGCTCCTTGCAGGAACCCGGGGAGATGGGTACCAGCCACCACGCTCCATTTGCAGACAAGTTAAGAGACAAACGAGCACTAATGAGATTAATTAAAATCACCAGATTGGTACTGCTATCGCTGCAGATGCACGAAGCTGTTGGCAGCTGCCCACGTTCATCCTCTGCCCTCAGGCAGGGCAGAGCAGCAGAGCCATGCCCAGGGCACCATCAGCAGCAGGCTTTAGCCTTGAAGCTCTGCTGCCCAGACAAGGGGCAGGGAAGGACAACTGTCACCTCTGCGAGGGAGAGAGCCAAGACAGAGGCCTGGTGCCTGGGACAGTCAGGAAAGAGCCCGGGCAGAGCCCCGTGACAGGCACAGATAAATATAATCACCCTCCCTGGCAATGGCCCCTTTGCGGATGTTTACAAACAGCTCAGTACTTTTCCATGTTAAGAAGCTTGTTTTTCCAGATGCCTTGTATCCGATGGTTTTTAATGTGTATAGTTAATCCCTTCTCACAGAGTCTTTCATAATAAACATCACCCCCTGACCTGACTAATAACTATGTAACACTAATGCTTTTGATTTATCTCCTGCCCGGGTTGTCAGGAGGAAAGCCTGTTTCTCTGGGACAGCAGCTCCCAGAGAAATGGGGACATGACTTGGAGAAGGGTTGGTGGGTCCATACACACGATTGCCATTTCCCCAGCTCATCCTCCAGCATGGCCATCCCTCAGGACATGCCTGCACCCACTGCAGCTCTTGATAAAGCTACAATATGTAAACCTGGAGTTTGAGTTATGGTTTGAAAAGATGTGTCCAGACCCAAAATGGCTGGGGGTTCAATACCTGCTAATGCATTCATCCTGCTCTCCCTATTATTCTCCTGTGGTTTCCATCTGTCAGGGATGATGAGATCAACATCCATCCTTAGCAGGATGGACAAAAGAAAAGGTGATTCACTATTTCGTGTGAAGTCGTTTGATAGCAGTGCAGTTTGTGTTTTAGGTTTCTCAGTACTTGCTCCAACAGGACATGATGCCTGCCACAGTCTATGCCTGAAATCCCCCAGTGCTCCTGGGAGGATGTGCCAAACCCCACAGTGTTTGGACCAGACACGTTCATGGGTGCTCACAGGAAGAGCGGAAGCTGGGTCACTGATGGTAAAGTTTAGAACATGCTGTTGGAGAGGAAATTCACACTGGAGTGATCTCCAAACCATCTCCCTGCACCGCTGCAAGTCTTGGGGTGATACTCTATCCACCTCCAACAATGTCCTGACCCCTGAGTTTCAGCTGGTGCTGATTTCCAGCAGACCTAGACACCAGCAAGTGCAGGGGCAATGCACAGCGAGGGGAGCACAGCTGAGATCTGCACTGCTCCATCTGCTCGTGTGCCCACCAGGCTTTTGTAAAAGATGGTTTGTCAGCCTGAGCATCCTGGCCAAACTCCAGCCTGAGTAATCACACATGGCCTCCCCAAATTCCCCTAGAGTCTCAGTTCACATAAGCCACAGAGGTTCACTTTCTGTCCCAACTGCTGCTGAGCTGGCCACTGTTCAGCTTTTGCTCCACTTTATCTGTTCCACAGCTACATTTCACTGAGAGCCCTCCTCAGGGGATAATGGAGCAGTAAGCAGAGGGAGGAGCCCTCTGTAGGCATCTGATGTCTCCCCAGGTGCCATGGACTAATATGTAGTTTTCACTCCAGCTGTTGTAGAGCAGCAACCTGGATCCAGCTCTTACCACACTTCATCAAGTCCAGAAGCATTTGCACTTGGAATCTTGGACTTATATTCAGTAGCAGCCAGGTAAAATCCTAGATGGCTGATTAAACTAACTCATATTAAAGACAAAAATGTCTCTGCACCAGTGAGGCAGAAAGATGTCCCAACTCTTGGAGAACTACTTTACTGAGCAGCAGCAGGGTGGCACCTATGACACTGCTGTGACATGAGTCACATCTTCTCACATCTAACATGACGCATCTCTGTGGCAGGGACTCCTGCCAGCACCTAAAGGGCTCACCCAAGGCCTTTATGGACACATCAGGCACAGGGATGGGCAGTTATTTCAGAGAGGGGTAACACTGCCACAGGAGGAGGAGATCCCCACATGCTTCACTTTCCAAAGGAGGATTCAGTTCACAGAAATCTCCCCCACGCCCCCACTGAGAGACACATCTATAACCAAAACCCAGAATTACCAGGGCTAATAGTCAATTTTCCAACAGCCTTGTTAGCAGCCAGTAACATCTGCACCCCTGGTTCTTGCTCTCTGGAGTATTTCCAACTAACTCAGCTGGTAGTAGCAGCTTTCCAGTCCCCCTCTTTACCCAAGGCACAAATAACTTCAACTCTTTCAGTCTGTGTCCTTTGCCAACACAGATATTTCAATGTAAACCTATCAGAGCAGTAAGAACCAAGTGCAGCTGTAATTCAGGCAGTGACCACAGGAAAACCTCAAAATCTCTACTCAGCTTGATGCAAAAGGAGGATGTTGCAGAGGTTTGTGCTCACCAGGCCACAGCATCAGGAGAGGTGAAATGGGGAGTTCACATGAGCCATGCCAGCTTCATCTGCTGCTAAACTTAGCACCATTTGACTCCAGACCCCAGTCCAGAGGGAAGGGAATGTGAGAACAATGTCCCTCTGGCTTTGCTCACGCTGCTGCTGAAATGAAGATGACCACTGCCAAACACTGCGGTTGCTACAACAGCAGCTCATGCCTGGTATAGTTTCCATGGCTAGTGGAAATGTATCCGAGTCACAAAAGGAAAACAGGACATAGCACCACCCCTTCCAACAGTCCTGGGGACAAACAGCTCCTCCCACCCAAGGCCCAGACCGTGCCCTACAGAGCCAGCAGGTGAACCCGGGCAGTGGCCCCAGAATGGCAGCGCTGCCCACACCAGCGAGGGGAAACCCTGCAGCAAGGTCACACACAGATGGCCTCAGCTCTGTCCCTGAGCCCCGTGACAGGGGGAAACCAACACAGCACAACCTGCAACTCAGCTGTGCTCTCATTTCACAGCTCTCCACGCCTCCCACTTGTGCATGGGGGGGAGTCTCCACATCACCCTCCCCTGCCACCAGTGCGGTGACCTGTGCCATTAAAAACAGGGCACCCAGGAGGGCACCCAAACCAGGGAATCTTGGTATGCAGACACCCCAGCACTGTGGGACCTCCCAGTCCCATCACACTTAACTTCTCTTTACTTGCCTCAACAGGGATGGAGTGGGCACAAGGACCCCGGTGGCTTTGGGCACAGTGACCCCCACCCCTCACCAGAGATGCTCACCGTGTGTCCCCGTCAGCTCCCTCCCCAGGGAGCTGGGGCTGGCACAGCTGTTGGGAGTGCTGGCTCTGCAGCACGGGCTCTGCCTTCTCAGGGACACCTTGTCCTGGCACCCACTGCCACAGAAGCCACGGGCACGCTGGTTGCCACTTCTGGGCAAGTGCAATCCCATGGGAAACTCTCCTTTGGGAAAAGCCTAAAAGCCCACGTACCTCAGAGGGCTTCTTCTCCTTCTGCCGTGACCAGGGGGATTTGGTATTCGGAATTTTGGAGCATCTGGAAGTGGATGTGGTGTGACCTGCAACAAGGCAACAGAGACAGGTTACCTGGGAAAGAGTCAGAGCTTCTCCTGACCTCACCAGCCCACTGCTCCAACACTTTGGGTCAGCACTAAGATGGAGTAACACCTTGACATGACTTTTTTTGTGCAGTATCATCACCACTGCTGCCACCCCCAAAAGGGAAGGGTAGCTAAAGCCTGAAATGTGCTGGAACCACATACTACTGATCTTTATTTCCAACCCATTTGTATCATTATCACTTAAATCTAAGACTGTATTTGTTAATAATAAATAACAACTGATCATTGGAATTTCTGTATAATAATTATGACAGTTCAGTCTTCTGTATAGGAGGACCCCTCCATATTCCAATATATAAGAATGTTTCTGTGAGGTTGCAACAAAATAACTACCAACAGGCCTATTTAACACTGATTTTATCCTTGGAGGGCTAAATAGGAGGAAACAGCACTGTGCACATAAGCAACATCCAAACACTATGGAGCCAGGAGCTGAGCTTACTCAGGGATAGGCTGTGGTACCACTGCAGTGGGAAACTGCTCTTCCACCAGCTCAGGCAGCTGAGCCCAGGTAAATTTCACATGCCTACTTTTCCCGGCAGGGAAGAGGCACCAGCTCGACCTGTATTCTTCACTTGCAGTGCACTTTCTTGTACTTCACAAAATGAAGGCCAAATGTGGGGGCATCACCTGTTCCCAAAAGACAGCTTGTTTTTTGAAGTTGCAGGCCAGATGTTATTAAAGAGGGCTCCATACAAATGAAATTCTTTATAACACTTCAGAGCACAACAGGACTGTGCAGACAAAGCCCAGAGCAGACATGCCTACACTGCAGCCCCCTGGACACACTGCTTTACTCAGCAAGCTGCTCCAAGGAGTGCAGCAGCAACAGCCCCACAGCTTTCATGGAGAGATCAGCCATTAATTTCCACCTTGCCCCCTCTTCTCAAGCTACAGCTATACAGGCTTGGATAACACACCACAACTACCCTTTCCTGGCAGAGGCATGAAAAAGAAGGTCACCACTCTGTTTACAACTATCCTGCAGGAGAGCATTTGTCAAAAGCTTAGATATCACCTGCAGCATAAATATCCAAGCCCCATAGAGATAAAGCCATGTCGTTTAATACCATGGTTAAAGATGCCTTACCCCCGAAAGGCAGCGAAGCCAGCGAGCACAGCTCGGCTCCGTAAGCCTTTGAGCATCTGGGGATTAGGAGACGGGAAGTTCGGAGCAAGGCTTCCAAAACAAACCCTTTTCTGAGATAGAGATGTTTCATTTTACGAGAAGCAAGGGTGTTGACAGAGCCTGAAACACTTTGTGTAGGCACAGCTCAGCCCCCAGGCCCCCTGGGCTCCAGCGGGATGGGGGTCCCCGCTGGCAGCCGAACAGCAGGTTCCCGTCGGCAGTTGTGGTGCAAACTCCACTCACACTGACAGTTTTTTTGGCTAAAGCTGTGGGAACAGCAGCCAAACCCAGCAAGATCAGCCTTTCCATAACCCCCTGTAATCTCTCCATCATCCTGTTAGGAAAAAGCCCAGAAGTTTAGTGTCTTTAGTAAAGTCCCTTTCGTTCTTGGATATCCAGCAGCCAGATCCTGTAAAGTGTGGAGAGCAAATTCCCAGCACGGCCCAGATGAAATTACTGTGACATTTGTAAGAAACCAAGAGCAACTAGTAAGAAACTCCAGAGTCCAGACAAAGGATTAGGCTGGTGCCTTGAGGGTACTGAACACCGAGGCACTGCGGTACGTCTGCAGCGGGTGAAACCCTGGAATAAGTGGGAGAGGAGAGTGCTCTATTTATAGCCAAAATTCAGCACATTTGCACATGTTTATTGTTGAACACATGCTTCTGTGCCTTCCTGAATGAGGATGAAGTGAGGTAGATGTTGAAAAGCAAGCGTGGGCTTGCAAGTTTTGCTGGCTTGAGCCTTATCCCTTTTCCCGCATCACTCTTCGGTTTGCAAGAAGGGAACAATGCGGCTCCAGTTTTACTCTGACTCCAGTAAAAACTTCCCTTTCCCCTGGTGCAACCAAAATAAGAGCAAACTAGTCTCAGGCTGCAGCTCACAGGAAAGGACAACTCATCTACAAAGGGTGTTTGCTGCTTCGTTAGCAGATCTGCAATCAGCAGCTCTCCTCGCCCAGTCTCCTCACACGAGGGAGACACTCTCATCAGTTAAGAGGAGCCACAGCCAAGTGTTCAAATAAATTGATATCAGCTTGTTGCTGCACTTCTGACAAACCCAGCCCTGCACACTATTCATTGTGCAGACTTCCCAGTAGATGCAGTTTCCTCCACTCTTTGTAAAGTAATTATTCAAGCATTTTGACTGCTGGAGGTGAATCTTGCTCAAAGCTTTGAATTAAAGGTCTTACTGTCAGTGGTGTCCGAGTTATCACTGCTGATGGAGTACTTGCGTCGTTTTTCTTCCATCTGTAACAAAAGAAATGGAACATTACACTTCATGTCCAGAAAACTCATCTCAGCACCAAAGCACTGCTATCTGAATATTTGCACACCCTCCTACCCCAGCACCAGTCAGTCCTCACCCTCAGGACAGACAACTACCCAGAGGCTGAAAAAAAATGCAAGAAAACAATTTTCATTGATTTTTTTAAAAACTTTAATTGTCTTTCTACCATCTCCTCCCACCCCCAGTAGTTACAGTGGGTGCATCTGGATCACTCAGTTTGCATGGAAATTTGTCTGTGCAGGATTTGCATCCAAATGTCTCTTCCTCTGCAAGAGCACTGCCAAGGGAGGAAGCTCCAACAGGACCAGAGGATGCCCTCAAGGGACCACGGTGCTGTTGGATGGGAGAAAAGATGTCCTGGGAACCAGCTGTCCCCGCTGCAAAGTCAAGAGTGAAGACAAAAGAATGGAAACTGCACACTCTCGGTATGTCTGCAGGGGGAAGTACAAGCATCCCGGAGCTGAAGAGAACCCCCGTGCACCACAAGCCTGGGGTTTTACCCTATGACTCATCTTCCCATTCAGCCCTATCTACTTCTTTTAAGACCTCGGGAGTATCTGTCACACAGGAAGCACCTCCCATCACTGTGCACTGCCCTGCCAGAGCTGGCACCAGAGCTCCCAGGGGTGGGCAAGTGGCTTCTGCTCAGCTGCCGTGACTGCTCCATCCTCTCAGAGCTACAATCACAGCAGCAGGTACCACTGCACTGATGAGGAGACCCCTTTCAAGCTCAGCTGATTTGCTTTGAGACTTTGAACAAGCCACAGAAGTGCCTGAAATCAGCAGGTTCTCCTGAACTCGCCCCTTGGGAGCCAAGCACTCGGAACTCAAAGTAGGTGTTTCAGGAAAAAAAAAAAAAAAAAAAAGAAGAAAGGTATTTTAACTTTTGAAAATCCAAATTTTACCAATGTGGCTGGTGATTGATCAACATGTCTCCCAATAGAGGGCTTGGGCAGCTCTGGATGGAAAGGGCTACCTGTGGACCAGACAACTATCCAACAGGCTAGTTGGATAGTTGTCAAAATACATCCACAGAAAACAGTCTTAACCTCATTGAAATCTTCCCAGTACTTTCTGAGATATTTTCGAAGAATCTGAATGTGTTCAAATGTTATACCCACTATTGCTTCCACAAATGATAAGTGGGAATGATAACGAAACACTGGGTTTGTGTGGTTTGGTTGCAGCAGGTACAAGCAGCATACAGACTGGGATAGCAAGCTAGAGCATGACATTTCCCCCCAAACATCAGGAAATGTTCCACATAAGTATATAAAAACCTTGTAATAGCTGTATTTTACAATATATGCGCTATCAGAGCATTATAAAGGAAAATACTACAAAATATCCTAAACATTTTAACTATCAGTGTTGTGGTAAGGCATTGCCCTGTCAAAATGTGACTTAAAACACTAAGAATACGGCAATATCAATACTTTTCCCCTGGTGATTCAAGGGGAAACAGATGTTATTAAACCAGCCTTGTTCCAAATAGCCATTAGATTTTGCTTGGGGGAAATGAAACTGAAGATAGCTCTAACTGCAGCTTACTTACTTTTAGTGAAAATCCTACCTCAACCTTTTAAACTGGTTCCTACTGGTCTGAAGTGACAAACACGCATTTGGAACACAGACAGGGCAAGGCTTTTATTGATTCTGGAGTTCCTAATCACAGAGATTAAATAACCCAAAGCCAAGAGGAGGGAAAAGAACACCTGAGGTGAAGCAAAGGAATGCTACTGATAGCCAGTGAGATTTCCCAGGTTTCCAATCTTTGCTTTTACAGCAAGGCAGCATCACTGACATCACTCTCCTTCCAAGGCAGGGAAAAAGGTTTGCAATCAATGCTCAGGTAACAGGAGGCTGGCACTGGTTTTGGCTGATATGTATGAGGAGATGCACTGATCATCCCCCTCACTGAACTTGGTGCCTGCATCCTGCTGCTGTCCTGCAGAATTAACACACTCACTACGTAACAAGATGAATTGATATTCACATACAGAAGTGGCTCACATTGCAGGTAAAAATAGAGTCTGTACTTCAGTAAATCATTTTGCCACTGTTTGGCAGGATGCAAGACAGCATCCTCCAAACCAAACTGCATCAAATTTGTGAATGAAATTCTGGCTTGAGCAAAGTACAGACATCTCTGAACAGCAGCACTGAAAGGCTGGGCAGGGGATGGCACAATGTGTGCCTGAAAGGAGCAAAAGCTCTGGCCAAAACCAGGCCATTCCAGAAAATTGTTACATTGCAGACCGTGCTAAGAAGACTGCTTTCTGAGGGACTCATCTTGAGCAGCCAAACAGTAGTAAACCACATGGCACTTAAGAGAGGAATTTACTGTAGAAGGGTAATTGGGCCATTTCCCCATGTGTATCCCAGAGTTATAAAGTCTGATGGTGGCTGAGCTCCTACCACCCTTTTGGCACCCGCAGGGGGTGGCTGGGGGGTGGGGAGGGCTCACTGCCCACATCCCTCCCAGGGCTGGAGCTCCAGCTCCCAAAAGCTCTCAGGAGCAATTCAGTTGGTGAACTACTGAGCAACTTAAGTCCCCACAAAATATCGTCTCTGCTCCAAAATTAATCTCTTGTTTACATTAGAAGTTAATTTCACCTTTAACTGACCCATTCCCCACATGGCATCATTAATAAAGTCATAAACAAATACCAAAAAAATTTGTAATACTTTGAAAAGGTCACTGTTAGGTCAAACTTGGCCCAAAATCTAGTTTTTACAGAGCCAGAAACCAAGTGAAAGGTTTCTATGTAGGCTTGCTTAAAAAATTCAAACAGAAACAGATGTGGGTTTCTTTTATAAACAAATGAACATCCCCCTGAAGTGTCTGCAACTCAAATCCACAGGCATAGCCCTGGCTAATGCCTGGAAACCAAAAACTGAACTGCTTGCAAACCAACACATGTTTAGCATTGCCTTTGTTCAAAGCTGAGAAAGGCAGATAAATGCTAAACCAAGAAGATGATGGCCCTTCATCAGCCTAAACAAATGTAAATCACTATGTCCTTGGACAAATTAGCACCAGGATTAGTGTTAAAATGGAGATGATGGCCTCAGGCTGGCTGGTCCTGCCTCACAGCAGGGCAAGGCTGGAGAGGAGCTCTTGGGAATGTAATTTTGCCCAGCCCATGCAACCTGGGAGAGGTGGAAGGCAACTACTGCTGGCACACAGAGACGTCTGTGCCCAGATCCTGAGCTCAGCTGGGCACACTGCCAGGGACAGGCACCCGCTCCCATCCACACTAAACCGAAATGCCTCATCCAGCCTTCAGCTAGCACAGAGATCTTTCTCTGCAGACCCCTCCACCAGCCCTGTGCTCTGGAGAACCCCCGATGTTTCCCAGCTCCCTGCAAACTCTTCTGCACATCAACTCCACGTGCGATCTGAAGATTTTTAGTGGCATCCCAGCACCCTGTGCAGAGGCTGTTTCCACTGTTTCCAAGAACGAACCATTCTGAATCGTGGCAAGCAAACAGAGAAATTCATACATGCCTTTGCTCCCCACTTCCACAGGGAACAGGCACAGAAACCTGCATAAGTTGCAGGGGAAAAAAAAAAAAAAAAAGGAAAGTATTTGGTCATCACCTCTTCCCAGCGTCCCCGCAGGCTGAGGGATGCGCCGCGCTCGGTCCCCGCGCCGTCACCTCTGACGCTGTGAGCAACACCGGCTGAATGATGTGCTCTGTTTGTGAGCTGCAATGAGACTGCAGAAAAACCACTTCCCTGTTTGTTCTTCCAGCCCAGAAATAGGAACACAAACAGAACATAGTGCCCCCAGCGGCACGCACACGGCTCCGGCCACCGACCCCGCGCCGGGGACCCCGTCCCGGAGCCGTCCCGGCACCTGCGCCCGCCGGCTGCCACCGAGCCGTGGGGCTGCTCCCGACACATCCCCTCAGCGCTCCCCCTCTGCCTTAAACGTGCCTTTCCCTCTGTCTAGGAACACCAGCCAGTTGTTAGAAAGTGTAATAAAAAGGGTGGAGGGCTGGAACATCCCAGTCAGTACACCGTGGGAGGGTTGTCCTCGTCCCATTGCCTTTTCCCATGAACAAATTCTGGAGCCAAGCGCTGCTACAGGAGGCTCTGAGAGAGCGGCAGCATCCCCCAAATTGGCACAGCCCCAATTTCATAGTAACAGGACAAACTTTTGGACCAAAGGATGCACAGCAGCGGGGCCAACAAGACCTGCAGCAAATCGAGGTGCTCAGCCCCTACATCTGGAAGAAGCTTTTCCTGACCTCCCTGGTAACCCTGCAAAGTGTAAATGCTAAAGAGCAGGATCCTGGTACCTACAACAACCATTTTCTGGGCAGCAGGAGCTTGCCCTTGCCTGCCGGGGCTCGTCTGTCCCTCGCCTCCTCTACAGGCTGCTGCCAGCCCCAGCTTTCCAGAAAAAGCTCAGGTGCCCAGGTGAGGAGCAAGCCATCCCTCCTCTCCTCCATACCAACGCTGCTGTCTTGGCTCCCCAGGGCAAAATTTAATCTCATTTCAATTTAAAACAAAACAAGCCCTCGTTTACTTCCTGTGCTTTGCCTTTCTCCACACCTACAAGGGGCTTTTTTTCTTTACTACTCACGTTTATAACTTTCCTTGCCACTTCTGACTCGTTACCTTATAATTATCTATTTTTCTCTTTAGCAAGCCCAGACAGAGCACAGGTAATCAGAAAGGTTACTGAGGGCACTGGGACCACCCCTGCCTTCCTGGGGAAAGGTACAGGCAGCGACACAGGGCATGAGAAGGGACACCATGCACAGCTCCATGCCCACAGCCCCATCCTGCAGGTCTCCTGAGTACCAAAAACTCAGAGGAAATCAACAGGAGCTACAGATACTCCAATCTTTGTGAAACATGAAAACCCACAGAAAGGTAAAGAGCAGACCTGGTCTGAAGGACCACCCACCCACCAACTTTCAGAACTTGGGTGTCAAACACTACCAACAGCCGTCAACACTTTCAAGGAATTGCATCTCCTTGCCTACAGACCCCCTAATGTGTACACTCCATCCTTTGCTCCAAGCCCACATTTTTGAACATCAGCCTCAATTTTCTTAAGAAAAACAAATTTAACCTTCGATTTAACCTTTCTGCAAGCTATTTTTACTCCTATTTCAAGCTTATTTTAACCCCAGTAGCCAATAAATGCTTAAAGGTCAAACACCATTCCTAAAAGCTGGGCTCCTTACCCCTGGGGAGAAGGCTGAGATCAGATCATTAGGATTTTTCCCCCCAAGCAAAACCTCCTCTTAGAACTGTCCAAGCGGTCGGAGAGTCCTGGCTTCAGCCCTTCAAAACAATTTTCACTGTGGGGGCCGAGAAGGGCACTGAGAATTTTCCCTGTGAATTCCATGCCATCCTTCTCTTCCCGCTCAAAAAGCGCTCAAAATGTATAGGTATGGAGAGAGAGGAATTTATCTTCCCATAATTGCGATCGAGGTTGACAATCCAGCAGCCTCCCGCCTTTACAGCGCTTCCCAACTTCCAGCTGGCTGCTCCCACCCCGGGCGCGGGGCAGCCGGGGGGGCGCTCCCAGCCGCGCACCCTGCCCGGGAAGCGGCTCGGCAGGTGGGGAAGGGGCAGGAGCGCCGCCGGCCTCCCCGAAGGATGGGGAGGGAGCCTGGGGAGGGGGCAGGTGGCCGGCGAGAGAAGGACGGGCGGCCCGGGGGGACAACGGCGCGGGGGGACGCGGGATGTTTCACATTTCCGAGCGCGGGTGATGCCGTGGGGGGAGCGGCGGAGCCTGCGGGCTCGGCAGCCCCGGGACCCAGCGGCGCGGTGCGGCGGGGGAAGGCGGCGGGGAAAGCCCCGCGGTGGGGAGGGAGGGAGGGAAGGGGGGAGGAAGGGGAGGGCAGGCGGGAGCCGGCAGCCGCCACGCCCCCGGGCACCGCCATCCCGGCCGCCCGCCGAGCCCCCCCTGCCCGCCCGAGCCCCGCGGGGCGCCGGGGCGTCCCCTCCTCTCCCGGCGGGCAGGGCAGGGCGCGGGGCCGCTGCCGCAGTCATTAATTCGGGGAATAAAGGGGCGAAGCGGCGAACCGAGCCTTGAAAAGTTCTTGTTTACGTCCCCGCCGCCTCCCTCCCGCACTTCCAAAGGAGAGTGACCACCGTGCGCCATCCGCCCCGGGAATGCTGCACATCCCCCGCCCGGCAGCCGGGGGAGGGAGGGAAAAAAATAAATAAATAAAAAAAAAAGACATATATACAGCAAAAGCAGGGGGAGCTGCAAAATAACCATCCGCTGCAAACCCAGCCCGCTCCCGCCGCCACCCCGCCGAGCCTTTACCTTGGCCAGGAGTGTCCGCCCGGAGTTGCGCCGGTCTCTGGGGTGACAGGCGGGAGGAGGCGGGGGCGGGGGATGCTCCCGCAGTCCCCGGCCGGGAGAGCCCCCTCGGCGGCTCAATCCGGTGTCATTGCCAGGGCCGCGCCGCCCGGGCCCTCCTTAGGAGCGCCCGCCCGGTAACTCCATGGATGCGGTCCCGCTCCCAGCCGAGATGGCCGCTCCGCCGCGGCCGGGCGAGCCCTGCCCGCCTGTTTCTCTTTCTTTTTCACCCCGCACTTCCTCCGGCGCTCCGCGCCCCGCCGCCGCCCGGGCTCCGGCTCCGGCAGGGAGGCGGGGAAGCGACTTTCGGAGCGGGGACGGATAATGGTGGCGGTGCTTCCACCCCCCCACCCACCCCCCCC